TCCCAGGGAAGCGCATGAGCAGCTCAGTGCCCTCCCCAGGCACTGGAAGGACCTGCAGGTGGAGGGGGCTGTGTGCCGGCAAGAGAGAGGCCAGGCCGGGCAGAGGGCAGGTGGGACTGGCAGGTGCCTCGCTGCTCCCCAGAGGGCCCCACGCGAAGTCACGCCCCCGCCGCCTCTTGCAGGAGTTGGTCATAACAGCAGGTGCCGTTTCTGCATTTTTCCACCCGTGGCTCACTGACAGGCACCCACTGAACCCTGAGTCTAGGGGCCCTGGGCCTGCCTGGCCGTATGTCAGAGCTCGCCTGATTTTTTTTTTTTTTTTTTTGCTTTTTGGGTCACACCCGGCAATGCACAGAGGGTTACTCCTGGCTATGTGCTCAGGAATTACCCCTGGCGGTGCTCAGGGGACACTATGGGATGCTGAGAATTGAACCCGGGTCGGCCGTGTGCAAGGCAAACATCCTACCTGCTGTGCTATTGCTCCAGCCCCGGAGCTCGCCTGATTTTGGCGGCGCGCTGAGTGCGTTGAATCCTGCACGCAGAGATAGGGGCTGCCCCGGCCCAGATTCTGGCACACGGTGAGCCCGTGACATCATGGGAAATGCCAGCAGAGGTTTCCTGAGCCCTAGCCTCAGCACCTTGTATCTGGGGTTTGATCATCCTGAATCTCCCCCAAGCCCTGAGCCCTGTGCTGAGCCAAGCATTTGTCTTGGACTCTCCCTGAGCACTGTGTGGGGCAAGTCTCGGGCTCCTCCAGGTATCCTCCGTTTGCAGGAGCTGGGGGCTCCCAGGCGGTGCTCGGAGCAGCTGGGTCTCTCCTGGTGAGTCCTGGCAACAAGGCCAGCTGTCCAGTGCCCGAGCTGTGTGGTGTGGGGGTTGGGGTGGGGTGTGCAGGGGGTACTGAGGCTCTGCTGGGGGTACATTGGTTACCTCTCTCCTGAAAATATTTTTTTTTCTTGAAAAATCAGCTTTTAAACCTGTCCGATGGAATTTATCTATTTATGTTTTGGGTCACACACCCTGTGATGCTTAGGGGTTACTCCTAACTCTGAATTCAGGAATTACTCCTGGCGGTGCTCGGGGGTCCCTATGGGGTGGCGGGAAACGAACTTGGGTCAGTCGTGTGCAAGGTCAATGCCCTCCCCGCTGTGCTATCACTCTGGGCCCTGATGAAATGTATTGATCCGGTTTTTGATTGTTGATTTTTGAGCCACACCCAGCAGTGCTTCAGGGCTTCCTCCTGGTTCTGTGCTCAACCTCACTCCTGGCGGTGCTCAGAGCACCCTATGGGATGCCGGGGATCAGACAAGGGTGGGCTGCATGCAAGGGACACTGCCACTCCAACCCCTAAGCCTCTCGGTTCAACTCCCCCAGATATGAGCCGTCGGCCTATTCTCTTGGGGATCCTTCGTAGCCCCTGCTGTGTCGTGTTTCCTAGACCGTTTGGGAGTGCCAAGAGAGACTCCAGGTTCCCCAGCTGACGCGTCATGCGGGGTGCTGAGTCAGGACTCGCCAGCGCAGTGCTCGGACCTTAACCTTGATGTGCTCAAAGCGATTTATTTTTGCCACTGGAGGCAGCTCCCGCCGTTGTGCTTTGTCCTGTCATCACAGGCCCGCGTGGGCTGCTCCTCTCGGCGCCCTGGGAAGGCGCCTTTGATGCCACATTCCTGCCCCGCTGGACACCGCTGGCCAGGGCCGCTGCTGGGCTCATGCCAGGAGGGGTTCCCTGTGGGCAGCTCCGTGGTGCCGCTTCTCTCCGTGGATGGTCGTGCTCAGGGCGGGGAGCACGGGCTCCCGCAGGAGACGCCCTCTCCTCTGCTGGTGGAACCTGCCTCTTCCATGAAGATAAAGGCTGCGAACGGCCGTTCCCAAATACAGGGGTGCCAGGAGAAAGGACTCAGGGAGACACCAGGCCTTTGTCACCTCAGAAGGAAGAGGCGGTGTGGAGGGGTCTCTCCCGCAGGCTCCTAAAATCCCAGGGTTCCATGAGTCTGCGGATTCATGGAGCTCAGCCCTGTGAAGAGGTGGGGGTCCCGGGGAGGCAAAGAGGTACAGGCCCAGGGTACAGCCTGAAGATGTCACCCCCTGTTCCTGGACCACAGGACTCTGCACGAGAACATGCCTGGTGGCTGTGGGCCAGGGGAAGGGGAGGGGGCTGCCCCATCAGGGACCCTGTGGGACTGGGGGGCAGCTTTGAGGATGATGAGGTGAGGGTCGTGTGCACAGGTGTGACCCGCTCCCCAGCGGCCTGGGCCTCTCCTTCCCGAAATGGGGTGCCTGGGGCTTGGGTGGATGAGGCTTCTGGCCCAGGTCCTGGCATGGCCGATCACTGCCGTCCAGTTTTTCCAGCGAGCTCCAGATGGATGCCGTGATGCCCCAACACGAGGTCCCCAGCACTAACGCCCAGACCCACCGGGAGCTCGGGGCCACACCAGTTGCGGCTCCCATGCTCCTCGCACCTCCTGAGTGGGGGATGGGGGACCTGAGCCCATGGCCGGACAGTGGGACAGTCGCTCTCACTGGCAATGAAGCAAACATGTGTGACGGTTTCTCCATCCATCAGTTCTTGGCCACCGGTGCTGTCTCCAAGTGAGGTTTGCACGGGGGTGGGGGGTTTCAATCCCATCTTCACAGGCCTGGGAGAGAGCCCCTCGGGCCCCTGGGACCCTTGTCCTGTTTCTTCCTCGCTGAGACCCTCCCTCCCAGCAGGGGTGTGTGCATGGGTGTCCCTATGGCTGTGTGACCAGCGCTGCAGTGACCAACACAGGAGCTCAGCGTCTTTCCTGAAGAGTTGTCAGGCCCTGGGGGTAAACACAGAAGTGTGGAATTGCTGGACCCTATGGGAGCCGCTTCCTGGTTTCCTGAGAAGCATCCCTGTACTGTAGGGGGTCAGGATGGGTGGGGACCCTGGGACATGGTGGAGGGAGGCTGGCACTGGGCCGTTGAAATGCTTTGGGATGACATCCTGCCCTTATCAATGTCATAAATCGCGGGGCCTAAAATAAATATTTTTTTAAATGTCTGTGATGCTGCGGCTGGCACAGTGCCCTCTATCTGTGTATGTGAGAAGCACTGGGGATTGGCTGTCCCTCAGTGCCCAGCGCTGTTGGAGCAGAGCAGCTGGACGCAAAGTCCAGCCCCCAGCCCCCACCCTCTGCCTCTGCTTTTCTGCCGCAGGACGCAGAGCCCTGGTCACTCTCTGTCCATCTGGCTCTGCTTCTCGGCTCTGCCAGCTCCCCTAGAACCTTCTTGATCGACTAATGATGCTGGAGGGTCTCAGTGAGAAGGAACCGGGGTGGTCTGCCTTCCCCCAGGGCAAGGGTCCCAGGGGGCTGAGGTCCCCCTGCCCCACCTGTGCAGATGGAATTGAAACCCCCACCCACCCCAAGCCCCGGGACTCTACTGTGAGCTCAGGGTGGGACAATGAGCTTTATTTTATTCATTTATTTATTTATTTATTTATTTATTTTACTTTTTATTAGTGAAACACCATGAGGTACAGGTGTAGACTTACAAATTTTTGTGCTTGGGTTTCAGTTACACAATGATCGAACACCCATCCCTCCACCAGTGCCCATCCTCCACCACCACGGGTCCCAGTATCCCTCCCATTCCCCATCCCCCCATCCCACCCTGTCTCTGTGGCAGGGCATTCCCTTTTGTTCTCTCTCTCCTTTTGGGTGCTGTGGTTTGCAAAAGAGGCATTGAGTGTCAATCATGTTTGGTCTTAGTTTACTTTCAGCCTGCTTCTCCCATCCTGGGAGGATCCTCCCAACACCCTTTATTTGGTGCTCCCTTCTCTATCTGAGCTGCCTCTTCCCCTAGCGTGTGTGCGGCTGGCCTCCAAGCCATGGAATAAACCTCCTGGTACTTATCTCAGCTATTCTTGGGTGTTAGTCTCCCATTTTGTTACTTTATGTTCCCCAGATGAATGCAATCTTACTATGTCTGTCCCTCTCTGATTCAGGGACAATGAGCTTTAGAAGCAAATACATAATTATATTTCCCAGAGGAGTTCTAGAATGCCATGAAAGACCCTGGGGAGAGACCTTAGAGGGCTTTGCCTGCAGGAACCCAGGTTTGATCCCTGCACTGGCCAGGCCTGCAGGCACCCGGGCAGTAGTCCCCAAGCACTGAGCAGGGGGCGACTTGTGACCACTGCCCCATGGAGCTCCAGAAGCATAGAGTGCTGGCCTGACTAACAAAACACAGAACTCCTTCCTCCCCTAGACGGTCTGCTGATGTGCAAATGTCCATACAGACACACACATATGTTGCAGTCCAAGTTCTCTCCTCTTGAGTGCGGGGCCGCCCACACGCAGCCTTCCCGCTTAAGGCTACACACAGCCCTGTCAGCCTCTCCCCACCCACCCAGTCATCCAGTGCCTGGGATTTTTGAGGCACACCAGTAGCAAAGTGGGGAGACCCCATCTGGGGATGCCACATTCAGTGGTGCTTGGGGCTATTCCTGGTGTGGTGTCCGGCCAGGGAAGTGGGGGGTAATGAGGTGGAGGGCGTGGGGGATGGGGGTGGGACAGCCAGTCTCCATATGCAGAGCACTCCCTCCAGCCCCCTTTAGTATCTCCCCAGCTCTGGGGAGGGGTCAGAGATTCTTGAGATGGATTGGGGGTACACCCTGAGAGAGTTGGGTACCTATTGATGAGTACACCACCGTCAAGTGGGACAAATGAAGCCCAGGCTCTCAGCAGCAGGAATGTGGGGACGAGAGAAGAGGTCAGTCGCGTGCTGGAGCCGCGTGGGGTGGACGCAGGGGACCAGAGGGGAAGAAGGGGCGGAGCGCGGAGGAGAGGGTCCCACTGATGGAGCACGGCTGTGTGCCCACACGCTATTGGCCAGGGCTCGGTCACGCGGCCACGCCCCGCGGGATGCTGTCAGGCCTGCGGGATGCTGGCAGGAGCACAGATTGTGCATCTGGGGCCCGGGTAGGCCCTGTACCCCGTGATTATGCTAAGGTCGTGTTCTTTCCTTCTTTCCTCCAGATGTCGCAAATGGCACCAGTTCAGGGGGGTACCGCCCGCCCCCCAGAACCAAAGAAGTCATCATCAACGGCCAGACCGTGAAACTCAAATACTGTTTCACCTGCAAGATTTTCCGGCCCCCTCGTGCCTCTCACTGTAGCCTTTGTGATAACTGCGTAGGTGAGTAGCCGAGGGAACTGGCCCGCCCCCGGGCCGGCAGGGCCCCCCAAGTTGGTCGCCTCTGAATAGACCTGGTGCTGGAGACGCAGCATGGGTGTCTAATCTGTGCCTGGAAACGGAACAGCTCGGCCCCAGTTAATATTTCTGTGTACTTGCCTCCCGCCACGAAGGCATTCTCCAAACCTGGCATTACCCAGGCTCCTCCTCTCCCTTCTCATCCGGCTGCACCCCACGCTGCAGGAGGCTGCATCAGGGCTCTGCAAACACAGGGTCTTTGTTCCCTCACTGGGGAAAGACCCTGTGCCCTCCGGTCCCTCCAGGACTGAGCCAGTGGGCACACTTGGATGTGCCCACTTTGTGGCTCAGGAGCAGGAAAGGGACCTGCTGACTCCCCCTCCCTGTCCCCTTTTCCTGTCCCCTTTTCCTGCAGGGATTCTCCTCCCTAAGACCCAACCCGAGATTTCTGCCACTCGCAGGGTCCCAGGTCCCGGCACTTCTTTGCAGAGCCTTTCCTGTCCCTTTGCTACCCAAGTGGCATATTTTCCGAGGCTGGTGCTGCTGAAAGATGAGGCTGGGAGAGGTGTTCAAAGTCCCAAGTTGCAGGGCCCGTGTAAGAAAGGGATGGGGGTTTTTCCACCCTTGGGGACACATTGCCCACACCTTTGTCTGCAGCCCCAGTGCCTACCTGGCATAGAAACAACTTGTAACTTTTCTGGGAGGAAAAGCCTCAGCATCCTCTGCTGGCTGTGTCTGAAGGGCGGGCATCTCCGGAAGCTGCCTCGTTTCCTTGGTAACACGCTTTGGCTGGCCAACCCCTTTGCCAGGTCTGGAATTTGGAGCGGCAATTCGGCAATTCATGGGGAAAAGCAAATGTTTTAATGCACTGCCTGCTGTGAAGAGCAAGTCTGCTTCTAACTAGAAGCAGTTTACTGTATTCTGACGCTAATCACCTGCAATTTGGTGGGACAGCTGTGTTTCCCCGGCAGGCCTTGTCTTGTTTTAGTAACCAGGTAAATTACTTCCCATCCTTTGGTTGGGCTTCAGCCTTTTCTGATGTCGCAGTTTGCCCATAGGTACAAACCTGGAACTGAACCGCACGGCTGAGTGCAAACAATAGATTTGTGTAGACAAACGTAACTATCACTTTTTCGTCTCTACCCTGAGTCAGCAACAGTTCCCACCTCACAGGATAGTAGAGAAACTAAATGAGTTCAGCTACTGCCTGACTGTGGGGAAGATGTCCTGTAACCGTTCGCTGTGCTGGCCGAGAAACTGAAGTCTGATCGAGTCTGTAGCTTGAGGGTGACAGCTCATGTCTATCGAGGTTTTGGAACTGCAGCTCGGGGCAGGGAGGTGGGACGGCGGGTGAGGAGCTTGTCCTAGATGCAGTTGGCTCCTTTTGGATCTCTGGCACCACAGGTCCCCTGAGCACTGCTGAGAGTGACTCCCAAACACCAAGCCACTGGGTATAGACCAATGCCCACTCCCCCCCCCACCCCTGATCTCCACAAGAGAACTGCAACTTGGAGCACAAGAAGTACTCGAATGGTCTGCCCGGATAGGCACTCAGGACTCGATCTCGCTCCCGCCAGATGTATGCCCATTTGCAAAGTATCTTAGCTGTTGCAGTTCTGACCAGTAGAGAGTACCTCAACTAATGATTGGCTATTTCCCTTCTAAGTGGTCATAGGCCCTTATCACTGAAGTGGTCTTGTCTGGGCTTCCCTACACATAGTGGGGTGAGCTGGTTGTGCTCAGGCTTTGACTTGCAGCGTCTCCCTGTGCGTCTGGACTCTGAATGGCTTCATGGATTTTACTTTTTGTTTACCAGTTGCTATTAGTACTAATATTAATAACCCCTGATGGTTTTTAAAAAATTTTTAATAGTGAAACACCATGAGGTACAGTTGTAGACTTACAAATTTTTGTGCTTGGGTTTCAGTTATACAATGATCAAGTACCCATCCCTCCACCAGTGCCCATTCTCCACCACCACTGATCCCAGTATTCCTCCCACCCTGCCTCTGTGGTAGGGCATTCCCTTTTGTTCTCTCTCTCCTTTTGGGTGCTGTGGTTTGAAAAAGAGGCATTGAGTGGCAGTCATGTTCAGTCTATAATCTACTTCCAGCATGCATCTCCCATCCTGGGAGGATCCTCCCAACACCCTTTATTTGGTGCTCCCTTCTCTATCTGAGCTGCCTTTTCCCCTAGTGTGTGTCTCTGGCCTCCAAGCCATGGAATAAACCTCCTGGTACTTATCTCAGCTATTCTTGGGTGTTAGTCTCCTATATTGTTACTTTAGATGAATGCAATCTTACTATGTCTGTCCTTTTCTTTCTGACTCATTTCATTTAGCATGATACTTTCCATGTAATACCACTTGTATGTAAATTTTATGACTTCATCTTTTCTAACAGCTACATAGTACTCCATTGTGTAGAACCAAAGTTTCTTTAACCAGTCATCTGTTCTCGGGCACTCAGGTTTTTTCCAGATTCTAGCTATTGTAAACAGTGCTGCAATGAACAAACAATTTCAGATGTCACTTCAACTATACTTTTTTGCCTCACTGGGATATATTCCCAGAAGTGGTATTGCTGGGTCAGATGGGAGCTCAATTTCTAATTTTTTGAGAATCGTCCATACTGTTTTCCAAAAGGGCTGAACCAGTCAGCATTCCCACCAGCGGTGAAGGAGGGTCCCTTTCTCACCACATCCACGCCAGCACCGGTTGCTTTTGTTCTTTTGGATGTGGGCCAGTCTCTGTGAAATGATATCTCATTGTTGTTTTGATCTGCATCTCCCTGATGATTAGTTATGTACAGCATTTTCTCATGTGCCTTTTAGCCATTCGGATTTCTTCTTTGAGAAAGTTTCTGTTCATTTCATCGCCCCATTTTTTGATGGGGTTGGATGTTTTCTTCTTGTGGAGTTCAACCAGTACTTTGTATATCCTTGATATCAACCCCTTGTCAGATGGGTATTGGGCAAATACCCTTTCCCATTCTGTAGACTGTATTTGGGTCCCTGTTTCTTTGGAGGTGCAGAAGCTTCTTAGTTTAAGATAGTCCCATTTGTCTATCTCTGTTTTCACTTGCTTGGTCAGTGATGTGACACCTTTAAAGATACCATTAACTTCAATGTTATGGAGGGTTTTGGCAACTTTGTCTTCAATGTACCTTATGGATTCTGGTCTGATGTTGAGGTCTTTAATCCATTTTGATCCTACTTTTGTACATGGTGTTAGGCAGAGATCTGAGCCCATCTTTTGCACGTAGCTCTCCAGTTTTGCCAGCACAATTTGTTAAAGAGGCTTTCCTTACTCCACTTCACATTTCTTGATCCCTTATCAAAGATTAGATGATCATATGTTTGGAGAGAGCTGTCAGTATATTCCACCCTGTTCCATTGGTCTGCAGCTCTACCTTTGTTCCAGTACCATGCTGTTTTAATCATTACTGCTTTGTAGTAGAGTTTGAAGTTAGGGAGGTTGAAAACTCCCACTTTCTTTTTCCCAAGAATTGCTTTAGCTATTCGTGGAGGCTGATTGTTCCGTATGAGTTTCAGGAGTGTTTGCTCCATTTCTTTGAAGAATGTCATGGGTATCCTTATAGGGATCGCATTGAATTTGTACAGTGCTTTGGGAAGTATTGCCATTTTGACAATTTTAATTCTCCCGATCCATGAGCAGGGGATATCTTTCCATTTTCTCATGTCCTCTTTTATTTCCTGAAGTAGCATTTTGCCGTTTTCTTTATACAGGTTCTTTACTTCCTTAGTTAAACTAATTCCTAGGTAGTTGACTTTCTGGGACACAATTGTGAACGGGATTGTTTTTTTCATGTTACTTTCTTCTCTCTCACTATTTGCGTATAGGAAAGCCATGAACTTTTGGGTATAGATTTTATAGCCTACAACTTTACTATACAAGTCTATTGTTTCTAGGAGTTTCTTGGTAGAGGTTTTAGGGTTCTCTAAGTATAGTATCATATCATCTGCTAATAGTGAGAGCTTGATTTCTTTCTTTCCTACCTGGATGCCCTTAATATCTTTTTCTTGCCTAATCGCTATTGCAAGTACTTCCAGTACTATATTGAACAGCAGCGGAGAGAGTGGGCATCCTTGTCTTGTCCCTGATCTTAGGGGGAAGGCTCTCAGTTTTTCCCCATTGAGGATGATGCTTGCTGTAGGCTTGTGGTAGATGGCTTTAACTATATTGAGGAAAGTTCCATTTTGGCGAGGGTTTTCATCATAAATGGGTGCTGGATCTTGTCAAATGCTTTCTCTGCATCTATTGACATGATCATATGGTTTTTATCTTTTCTTTTGTTGATATAATGGATTATGTTGATTGATTTCCAAATGTTAAACCATTCTTGCATCCCTGGGATTAATCGTACTTGGTCATGGTGTGTGATATTTTTGATGAGTTGTTGAATTCTATCTGCTAGTATTTTGTTGAGAATCTTCGCATCCATGTTCATCAGAGATATCAGTCTGTGGTTTTCTTTTCTTGTGGTGTCTTTGTTTCCTTTTGGTATTAGAGAGATATGGGATTCATAGAAACTGTTTGGGAGAGTTTCTGTTTCTTCAATTTCCTGGAAAAGATTGAGAAGAATTAGCAATAGGTCCTCTTTAAATGTTTGGAAAAATTCATTAGTGAATCCATCTGGACCTGGGCTTTTGTTTTTGGGAAGACTTTTGATTACAGTTTCAATTTCCTTGATGTTAATAGGTCTACTCAGGTACTCTAGATCTTCTTGATTCAGCCTTGGAAGATTATAGGAATCCAGGAATTTATCCATTTCTTCTAGGTTCTCTTGTTTCGTGGAATACAGACTTTCAAAGTAGTCTCTGATGATCTTTTGAATTTCTTTGGTTTCTGTTATGATATCCCCCTTCTCATTTCTGATTCGGTTTATTAGGGTTCTCTCTCTGTCTCTTTCTTTGTGAGTGTTGCTAGTGGTTTATCTATCTTATTTATTTACTTGAAGAACCAG